CAAAGGGGGGCTGCGGCAGGAGCAGCCGGGCAGCGGAGCCGTTTCTCCCCCGCCGAGAAGACGCGTCTCGGTGGAGCCGCCGTTTTGCAAGCCCTGCTCGGGCGCAGCCCCGGCTTCTTCGCGCGCCGACCCCCGTGCAGAAGGACTCCCCGGACCGCCGCGGGGAAGGGGAGCGAGGGGACGCGGCCTCCCTCGCGTCGGTTCCCGGGAGAGGCCCCCTTGGCCCCGGGAGAGCCTCCCGGACGGATGGGATGGAGAGCCGCCGCCGCAGCCCCAGATCTTGGGGCGGAGGGGTTGGAGGCTGCCTGTGGCGGGGTGGCTGCAGAAGAGCCCGCGGAGGTCCTGGGCAGTGCTCCCCCGAAGCCGAGTCGGTGTGAGCCAGCTCACAGTTCCGTAGCCTCCGGCTCACACATTTGTGTCTCAGCTCAGGAGGGAGGGCTCCAGAGCAAACCGATTTATACAGGGGGCAAATCCCTCGTTCACAAATTTAATGCCGGCAGCTCACAAAGTAGGATTTTTGCTCACAAGGCTCCACAGTTTAGACTGCAGTGGTGGCACTCAGAGCCCTCTCTGTGGGCACGGGTGCCATCACCCCAGCCAGGCCCAGACCATCATTAAAGTCGAATTCTCTGCCAAATCATTTTAAGTCAATGAAAGCATTTGGGATTGCTTTCCTTACTTTGTTTGGATCGTCATACGTTAATGTATGAGTTGTTTTTTCTAAAGTAAAACCTCAGTATCCAGGTTAAATTGCCATGTTGGCACTTTGCGATCAATAAGTGGGCTTTGGGTCGCAGTTTGGGCACTCGGTCTCTAAAAGGTTCACCATCACTGGTTAGAGGGAGCATTGGTCCTGTGGCTGGGCAGGGGAGAGTCAATTCAATTCAATTCAAATACCTTTTATTGGCATACAATATTAGAAGCATTTACCAATAAAACAATCCAAAAGAAATTATAAAATAGATAGTTGTGGCTATGTCAGGCCTAACTCAAGTTGTCACAAGCTAGATTTGCCAATATAAAGGAATTGCTGCAATCAGTTCACAAATTTACAGAATAATGACAAAAAATGGGCATTTTCATGATGTATAAATCCCAAAATTCTTCTTTTAATCAACAGGTCAGTTGACGAACATCTCAAGTTTCCAGAATTCGTTTCGAGGTCTTTATCAAAATTCTGTTTTGCTGTATTTTTCAAACAATCCAATATAAGGAATCTCAAACTCAGAATGGCTACAAATAGCTCTTGTGTTAACCACTAGTTTTAACGGACTGTCAGAATTTTGATAAAGATCTCGAAACGAACTCTGGAAACTTGAGATGTTCGTCATCTGACCTGTTGATTAAAAGAAGAATTTTGGGATTTATACAACATGAAAATGCCCATTTTTTGTCATTATTCTGTAAATTTGTGAACTGATTGCAGCAATTCCTTTATTTTGGTGTTTTCAGATTGCTGTGCCCTTGGTTGTATTGATTGTTCATTTGGGAATATGTCCACTTTAAATACAAGCTAGATTTGACCATACAAAAGATGCCTGAATCATAAAATAAATTGGAGAGTCAGGGTTAGGGTGCCAACTGCTGGGCTTTGTTTGAAAAAAAAAAGTGTGTGTCCCTGTGCAGGTGAATGTGAGCGCACCTGGAAGTCATGGCGACCTCTGGGGACTGAGGCCTCCTGAGGGCCGGGAGGATATTCAGAGAGGGGGCTGAATCAAGCCTGCCCCCCGCCTCCCACACTTGTCAGAGTCGACCCTGCTTAGCTTCCGAGATCTGATGAGAGCGGGCTTACCGGGGCTCTCCAGGTCAGGCCCCAACGCCTGGCTCTTGGGGGTCTGCCTTCAACACCAGCACCGACTGTCAGAATTCTGGGCGTAATTCTGGATGCTCCCCTTTCCACGAGGCCCAGGTCACAAAGGTAGCTAGACGGCCATTTTAAACTGGCTCCAGGTTAAGCAACTGGTCCTCTCCCTGTGTTCCTCTGACTTAGCCACAGGTGATCCATGCAAGGGTCACCTCCAGATTAGACTACTGTAACTGGGTCCAGGTAGGGCTACCCTTGAGGCTGACCCGGGAACTACAGCTGGTCCAGAATGCCAGCGGCGTGTTCTTACAGGAACTCCTTTCAGAGCCCATATCCAGCTGGTGCTCTGCCAGCTGCATTGGCTCCAGGTAGAACACCGGATCGGGCTCAAGGTTTTGGTATTAACCTGAAAAGCCCTAAACAGTTTGGGACCAGCTTGCCTTTGGGACTGCCTCTCCCGGTACACACCCAAAGAACGTTATGCTCCGGTGATAACAACCTACTGGTGGCCTCTGGCCCAAAGAGTATCCGGCTGTCCTCGACCAGAACCAGGGCTTTCTGGGCCTTGGCTTCGGCTTGGCGTTACACTCTGCTGGGTGAGATCCGGGCCCAGTGGGACCTAATGCAGTTCCGCAGGGCCTGTAAGACGGCATTGTTCCGTCAGGCCCATGGTTGAGGGCAGCGGGTTTTTCCCCACCTTAGGCTGGCCTCTCTTGCTCTTCCCCCCTCCCCTCCACTTCTTATCAGGCAGATTTTAGGATATTTATCTCTCCCCCCCCATAAGGAGCACTAGGTGTGCCCCTTTTATATCCAATCTACTAGTGTTATTGGTTGTTGTTTATTGTATTGTAGATACATAACATTTTAGAATTTTTCTCCCCCCCCCCCCCCCGGATAAGGAGCACTAGATTGTGCCCCTTTTCTATTCCATCTATTAGCGGTGTTCAGTTGCTGTCATATTGTTGTATTATAGAACTGTTCTAATATTTTAACCGTACGGAATGTTTTATGAATGGTTGTTACCTGCTCTGAGCCCTGTTAAACAGGGGAGGTAAAGGTAAAGGTTCCCTTGCTCGAAAGCCAGTCGAATCCGATTCTAGGATTGCGGTCCTCATCTCCGTTTCCAAGCCGAAGAGCCAGCGCTGTCCAAAGACGTTTCCATGGTCATGTGGCCGGCATGACTAAACACCAAGGCGGCACGGAACGCTGTTACCTTCCCACCAAAGCGGTACCTATTTATCTACTTGCAGTTTCTTGCTTTCGAACTGCTAGGTTGGCAGGAGCTGGGGCCAGAGAGGGGGGCTGTAAATTGAATGAATAAATAAATACCAAAATTTGTGGCAGGGGAGGAGCTTTCGGGAGTCACGCAGACCTCCCAGTAGAAAAGAGCCAGAGTCCAGGAGCACCTGAAAGACGAACAAAATTTGTGGCGGGGAGGAGCTTTTCTGAGTCGCTGCACGACTCACGAAAGCGCCTACCCGGCCACAAATGTTGTTAGCCTTTCAGGAGCTCCTGGACTCTGCCTCTTCTCAACTGTGTTGGGCCAATGGCAGAGATCCGTTCATGGGCGCATTCTGAGAGGTTGCATTTCATTGCCTCTGTCGGATCGGGAGCGGGCCCTCTTACCTGAGTGGCGCTGCTCCTGCGGAAAGGCTCCTGGGACACGGCGCCGTCGCTCAGGCCAAGGAAAGAGAAGGCTGGGAAGCAGAGACCCATGTCTCCAAGCTGCGCACCCGCTTGAGCGTTCAGATGGAGGCTGGAGGGCAGAGGGGCTCTTGGCCCCAAAGCACGGCAGGGCCCCCGAGAAATGCCTCTGAATTGGCCCTTGTTCTTACTCGTTTCACTTACACTCGGCCTCCCTCCCCTGTTGGAACCCACAGCTGCTTACATGGTTCCCCTCTCTTCCACTGTATTCTCCCAGCACCAGGAGCCGGGTGAGGCGGAGCGTGGGCAGGCACAGAGGAAGACCCTCACAGAGGAAGACCCTCAGCCCGGCTACTGGTCCCTCGGGGGCAGCCGTGTCTACTGAGACGGGCAGGGCTCCCAGAATTCCTAGCAGAGGTCCTTCCCATCCCCTGCTGCCCGGGGCCTTTTCAACGGGAGAGACGCCGGGGACTGAACCTGGGGCCTTCTGCGTGCCAAGCAGAGGCTCTCCCCCTGTGCCTTGCCCAAGGTCACCCAGGGAGCTTGTGGGGCAGAGCAGGGGGTCCCAGGGCACGGGTATCCCGGATCCGAGCGAGTCAGACCCCGGCCCTCCCTCGTGCTTCTCTCGCTGCAGTGCTGATCGCCCTCCTGTTCCCATTTCCTTGCAGGCCTGGCACTGTGACGATGAAATGGAGCGTGGCCATCGGCTGGACCCTCATTCTCCTGGCTGCCTTCTTCTTTGAGGACGCCAACTCCAAAGGCAAAAGCGCCTACCCGGCCACAAATGTTGTTAGCCTTTCAGGAGCTCCTGGACTCTGGCTCTTCTCAACTGTGTTGGGCCAACAGCAGAGATCCGTTCACGGGCGCATTCTGAGATGTTGCATTTCATGCCTCTGTCGGATCGGGAGCGGGCCCTCCTCTGGAACTCTTACTTGAGTGGCGCTGCTCCTGCGGAAAGGCTCCTGGGACACGGTGCCGTCGCTCAGGCCAAGGAAAGAGAAGGCTGGAAAGCAGAGACCGCGGGGGACCGCCGGCCTGTGTCTCCAAGCTGCACACCTGCTTGACCGTTCAGATGGAGGCCGGAGGGCAGAGGGGCTCTTGGCCCCAATGCACGGCAGGGCCCCCGAGAAATGCCTCTGAATTGGCCATTGTTCTTACTCGTTTCACTTACACTCAGCTGCTTACATGGTTCCCCTCTCTCCCATTGCATTCTCCCAGCGCCAGGAGCCCGGTGAGGCGGAGCGTGAGCAGGCACACAGGAAGACGTGAAGGTGCCTCACCCTCAGCCCGGCTACTGGTCCCTTGGGGGCAGCTGTGTCTACTCAGACGGGCAGTGGCTCCCCAGAATTCCTAGCAGAGGCCCTTCCCATCCCCTGCTGCCCGGGCCTTTTCAACGGGAGAGATGCCAGGGATTGAACCTGGGACGTTCTGCGTGCCAAGCAGAGGCTCTCCCGCTAAGCCACGACCCTTCCCCCCGTGCCTTGCCCAAGGTCACCCAGGGAGCTTGTGGGGCAGAGCGGGGGGGTCCTGGGGCACGGGTCTCCCGGATCCGAGTCCTACCCCAGCCCTCCCCCGTGCTTCTCTCGCTGCAGTGCTGATCGCCCTCCTGTTCCCATTTCCTTGCAGGCCTGGCACTGTGACGATGAAATGGAGCGTGGCCATCGGCTGGACCCTCATTCTCCTGGCTGCCTTCTTCTTTGAGGACGCCAACTCCAAAGGCGGGCGAGGCGGAGCCCGAGGGGCTGCCCGGGGCAGCGCCCGGGGAAGCACGCGGCGGTCCAAGTCTTCTACCCGCTACAGCTCCTCTGGGGGGTCGCTGCGGCTGGCGGCCGCGGCGGCAGGGGGGGCTGCGGCAGGGGGGGCGGCTGCCGCGGCTGCCAGGATGAGGTCAGCTGGAGAGGGTGGCCCGGACCACGTGGAGCTCTACTCTGGCAACGGCACAGGGGAGGGCAGCTACAACTACCGGGCGTGGACGTCCGGCTGGCGGCCGCGGCGGCAGGGGGGGCTGCGGCAGGGGGGGCGGCTGCCGCGGCTGCCAGGATGAGGTCAGCTGGAGAGGGTGGCCCGGACCACGTGGAGCTCTACTCTGGCAACGGCACAGGGGAGGGCAGCTACAACTACCGGGCGTGGACGTCCGGAGCCCAGCCCTGGCCCTTGGCCCACCTGCCGGCTTTCCTGCTCTGCCTCGCCGGCTTCTTCTCTCTCTGAGGGCTCCGGCGGCTGCTGCCAAGGCCGCGTCCGTCCCGTCCTGCCCACCTCTTCTGCCTTTGCCCCACATGTGCCCTGAGCTTTCCGTTGCTCCTTCTCCTGACTTGTGGCTGGGGCCTGGAGGCAGGTGGGCACTGACCCGCCCTTCAGAGAAGGCTGCCACCACCACGAGACTGGGGCGTCTCCACAGTCGGCCAAGAGAGGCTCCGTTATGTCTGCACCTCACTTCCCTTGGCGCAGGTGAGAGCCAGGCTTCAATGCTGGAAGGCCTCGGCCAGGCTCTGTGGGCTGTTGTGTGGAAGCACCCGCCATACACCGCTCTCTCTGAAGGAAGCGGCCTCAGAAGACCAGCACCAGGTGGAAGCCGCGTCAGTGGCTGTCACGAGCTACCCTGAGCCAGGTTCCTGCACTGTGCCCCCCACGACAGGTGCTCACGCCAAGGCCTTCCCGCCCTCTTCCCATCACTGCCAGACTCCACAGACGTCGATCGGTTTGGTGCTTTATAACAGAGATGGGAATCCAGGTCACCGTGCCACCCCCGGCCTTTGCCCCGAGTCCATGATAACCGCTGCCCCAGCTGCAAGTTTGTGCCAGAGGCCTCCGAGCCGAGCCCTTCCCGGAGTTTGTGTCTCTCGCAGCTGGGACACTGTTCCAGGCAGGAAAGGCGCTATGTGGCTAGCAGAGCCTCTTTCATTGGAACTTGCTAGATCAGATGGATGCTATCGTAAGAAATGGGTGGTGGGGCAAAATCCACAACAGTGGTGGTGAACCTATGGCACGGGTGCCAGAGGTGGCACTCAGAGCCCTCTCTGTGGGCCCGCATGCCGTCACCCTAGCCAGGCCCAGACCATCATTAAAGTGTACAAGTCTCTGCCAAATAATTTTAAGTAAATGAAAGCATTTGGGATTGCTTTCCTTACTTTGTTTGGATCATCTTAAGTTAATGTATAAGTTGTTTTTTCTAAAGTAAAACTTCAGTATTCAGGTTAAATTGCCGTGTTGGCACTTTGCGATCAATAAGTGGGTTTTGGGTCGCAGTTTGGGCACTCGGCCTCTAAAAGGTTCGCCATCACTGATCTACAACTTCAGGGATGGGAATACCTCCTTGCCAATTGCATTGCGGTTTTTACAATCGTGCGAGGGGGACAGGGAGCACGGGGTGATGCGCACTTCCTTACTTTCCCCATTGACCTTTTCTATGTCCAAGATATGCAAGCCGCCCCCCAGCTCCAGCTCTCGCCTGTTTCTCCATCAGGGAAGGCGTTCTAAAATGCCTGCTTTGCACAAGCCGAAGCAGAAGGAACAGGAAACGGTGGCTTCTCAGTCCCTCTTGTGTTACCGTTGGGAGCAAAGCCACTTTGTCAGCCCGGCCCTACAGGGGGGAGGGGGTTAGGGGACTTGGGCCTGGTGTGGAGGGGAACGAGGGACCACAGTTCGCAGGCTTTGCAGGCAGTACGATCAAGTTACTCCCTGACATCTCCATGGGGGGGAGAGGGGACGGGGACTGCTCATGATGTCAGAGTCACTGCTTATAGACCGCCAGGCAAGAGGGACGAGTGGTGGGACTCGTGTAAATAAAAAGGCTTATGAAGATAGTTAGACATTAATAGCTTTTGCCCCCGTCTGGTTGTTTCCTCCACAATCTCTGTAGGATGGAAGTCCCCAAGTTGGTGCCCATGGGTCTCCTTGGCACCTGCTGGCACCTTCGCTGCTGCCCACCAAAAGCTTCCAGACACTGGGTGGGGCTTCAGCCCAGCAAGGCTTCTGATGGGCCACCGGAGAGTCAGTTGGCTGTGCAGATTTTTAGACACCCCCCCCAGGAGACCTCCGGCTCAGCTTCAGGCGCCCGACTGCCAAGGGCGGCTCGCCACTCGTGCCGGGGGGGGGGGGGGGAAGCAGGGCCACCCACCCACCTTTCTAGCCAGCTCCTACATTCCGGGGCACCTCTCAGACGGCCCGATGCCCGGGCGTCACTGCCAGCTCCACACAAAGCCGGTCTTCGATGTAAATAAGAGAAGTTGTTTTCCTATGTATTTTGTTTCACTTGACTTCCATTTCCCGACCCACCAGGAAAGCAGTGAAAGGGGTGTGTGTGTAGGATTGAGCCAGTGGCTCGGTCGCAGCGTACTGAGAAAAATGTGCAGCTCGTAAGCCCACTTCCCTTGGGACCAGATGTTCAGATGTTGCCTGACAATATCTCTTTTCCAGTATGTTTCGTAACGTGAAGACTCTTGATTAGATTTTATTAGAGTTGGTAAGAACTCTACCAATCCTTTGTGTGTGTGTGTGTGTTGCTTTGGGGGGGGGGTATTAAGCCAGGTTCACTTGCAGAATTTCCTCCACGCGGACGACGACACATGTTTACAAGATTACCTCTTCTGAACTCCAATCGCGGGTCTTTCTTTGGGAAAACTGGGGGGAGAATGGGCTGTTTTGTGACACTCTTATATAACCTTTCTTGTAAGTGTTTGAAAGGTAACGTGGAAATAAAGATTATACCATTTGTGTTCGTATGGTTCTTTAAAAAGCGCACAGAGGTAGTGTTTTCTAAAAGTCCCACTGTAAAGGGATTTTCTCTGAAAATCTAATGAGAACCTCTCCCCCCCCCCTTTTTACCAAGGTCTATCTGGGAGAGAGAAATACCTCACTTCAGAGCTTTGCTCCTGGCAAATATAAGAGTGAACTCATTCTGATAGCAGCCCGCTCCCCCACCGGCATCATGAGTTCCCCCTGTTACAGAGTGAAGTGGGCAAAAGGTCAGGGCCTGGGATTTCAAAGAGAGTTCATCAATTCTGTTCCCAAACATAATTCACTCTGTCCTCTGTTTAGAATATGTTCTGCATTCCAAGACAGAAAAAAACCCAAAGAACTCTTCCTTGAGAGACTGCCTGGCACTAACCCGCTAAGGGAACAGAGGTCAAAAGAACAGATCCACAGGGAAGGGAATCGGGCAGGAACACAACAGTTCTAAAATCTGGCAAACCAACAGAGGCTCATGACTTAGAGCAGTGGTGGCGAACCTATGGCACGGGTGCCAGCGGCGGCACTCAGAGCCCTCTCTGTGGGCACGCGTGCTATCGTCCCAGCCAGGCCCAGACCATCGTTAAAGTGTCAATTTCTCTGCCAAATAATTTGAAGGAAATGAAAGGCATTTGGGATTGCTTTCCTTACTTTGTTTGGATCATCTTAAGTTAATGTATGAGTTGTTTTTTCTAAAGTAAAACCTCAGTATTCAGGTTAAATTGCCGTGTTGGCACTTTGCGATAAATAAGCGGGTTTTGGGTCGCAGTTTGGGCACTCGGTCTCTAAAAGGTTCGCCATCACTGACTTAGAGTATTATAAGGCATGTAGGATTCCTTAAACCTCCCCCCCTTTTGCCTTCTATGAATCCCAAACTGTTCCAACGAGCCCCATGGGAACATATTACTCAAAATTCATTATAAACAAAACAGCACCAATCCCAGACTTTTGCCATAAAGCTGGCAGGAAACTTTCCAGCCTTGTCAAAATCAGTGTTATGTCTTTTGCTTCTGGCTGTCTGGAAGGCAGTTTCAAATCTTGACGGGTCCTCTGCTAAGGCCAGCATCCCTCTTACTCAAAGGATGGTCTAAATGGACCAGTCCCCAATACTCCCGGGTCCCAAACGCCGGCTCCCAATTCCATATGATCAGGACCTTTTTCTGCCTGCTTATGGCATGAACCAGGACAATGGCCACCCAAGGCGGGGGAAGAAAAGAGTGGGGAAGGAGCCACTCGCTGACTCACTCTTGATTTTTGAGAGGGGGGGGGTCAACCAGGATCCGTCGTGGAGGAGAGCCAAAGAACAAGGAAACCGCCCTGATCGAATGCAGACCGGAAGCTTGTCGACTCGCAGATCACTCTTAAAGCAGGTTCACTCCACAGCACTGTTTTATTCCGTGGGACTTTCTCCCAGCAAAGTTAAGAATGCGGCCTCGTTCACTTCCACGTCACAGCCTAGTACCCCCCACCCTTCGTCTCCCGGCAAATAAACCTTTTCCACCCTCGGAACATTGTCCAGGCCCCACGGCCCGGCCGATCCACTCCGCATTCCAAAACGTGAGGCACAGTCCTCCTGGTGCAGGAAAAGGCGGTGAGGGGCGGGAAGGGCTGTCCCTGCAACTAGGACTGCGGCTGTCTCCTTTGCAGGTTTATATGGGGGCGGGAGAAGGCCAAAGGGCAGTCCGCATCCAGTCATTTGGACGAGGTGAACCTGGTGGGGAGCGAGCCGTTGCCGCCCAGCCCAGGAGGAGGAGGCGCTTCGGAATAATCAGGAAAGCAGCCCAAGGAAAGCACATGCTCCTCACCAAGTTCACGGCATATGCATCGGGCAACGCACTGACCTAAAGCCAACAGCGCGCACTGTTACCATACTCCAGGTGCTGCAACTTTGGAGTGGGCCCGTCGCGATCCCTGGGGGCTCAAGCGACCCCGGGAACTCTCCCCCTCCAACGCTCCCTCACGGGGTTGCTGGGACATCAGCGGGGGCCGAAGACAGAGAAAAGCCACACGGGACAGGAAACGGGGCTCAGAGCCTCCGGCGGCTGCCCCAGTTGCCCGTTTCCTTCTCACCCCACGGCGAGAGAGGTCCAGCCCTGGTCTCCCAAGAAGCAGGCCGGCCAGGCGGCTGTGCAACCAGCCACAAGCCTCCCTCCTGCTCCACGTGGAAACCCCCTCGGCACACGCCAGGAAGAGGGAGCCCT